GGAAATTGTTGTAAGATTACACACTTGGCATAAGGGTATTCGGCAGCTATATGCGTGACACAAGAGCGAGTGATTCACCCCAACACATCTCAGAAGCCTATGAGTCATCCACAAGCTCTTTCCGGCTCAGACTCTGGGGAGAATGGGGATTCGAGTTAACTGTGCCCGGGTGAGGGCGTTGAACACTGTGTGATGGTTTTGTTGCTTTTTAACCAGGTCAAGGTTGGCTGGAGGGTTAGGCATTAGAGGTGCGGTCAGGATTGGAATAGTGATCACAGTCCTGGGACAGCCTGGGCCAGAAGGTCAGAGTCCTTTTTCTCTGTTCTCTTCACACTGGCCCTGCCTTGGCTCCTTTGGCTGGGAGCTGAGCCTGTAGGGTATTAAGAGACCCTTCACCCAAAGAAGGCCTAGAAACTCAGAGAGAAAAGAGAACAAGGCCAGGCGCAGGGGAGTCTGGAGTGAGCCGAGAATTGCAGCTAGTACTTCCCTGACCTGATGGGGTACCCAGTGCAGCATCCCAGACACTGAGGAAGGAGGACGGTGGCTTCCAGTCCTGCCTCTACCACCAGCCCCAGGACAGGAGCAGAAGGGTAGGAGCACAGACTCTAAAGCCAGGCTCACTGGGGCAGAAGTCCCAGCTCTGCCACTTCCTGAGCCTGCTTAACCTCTCGGAGCCTCAGTTTTCCAACCTTCAAAATGGGAATCTACCAAATGAGGATAACGAGACCCACCTCATAGGAATATCATGAGGTATAAATGAAATATAGGGAGGAAATAGCCCCAGAACCAGTTTAAAAAGTTTAAAAAATAAAGGTTAAAACAAAAAGGTGTGGACCCAATTTGTGAAGTCCCCTTTCTATCCTCATATTCTATGATTCTAAGGATTGGCTGGCCCAGCCCAAGCACCTTTCTCTCTCCCCACCGTCTTGAGAGAAAGCGCTGCTGCTGGTCTTGCTTTTAAAGGCATCCACATTCATGATTTCATTTCATTTTCACAACAACCCATCTTACAGATGAGAAGACTGACCAAGAGGGGAAAGGATTTGTCCAAATCAATGAATACCAACTTACTTTAGTTGTGACTTCTACTTTTTTCTTTTCAAATGTCACCTTTATTTTATTGTTTTGGGCTTTATTTTCTTTTTCTGGGGGGTGTAATTAGGTTTGTTTACTTATTTTTCACTTTTTAAAATGGCAGTACTGAGGATTGAACCCAGGACCTATGTGCATGCTAAGCACGTGCTCTACCACTGAGCTATACCCTCCCCTGCCACCAACTCACTTTTACTGAGGGCCACATGCCAGGCCCTGTGTCTAGCACAGCGTCATCATAGTAAGTCCTCACAACAACACCTGAGTTATTTGTTCCTATTACAGACAGGGAGGCCAAGCGGGAGAACGCGTCCAACATCACACAGCTGTGGGTGATGGAACTGCGATTTACCCAGGAGTAGCTGGTCCTCTGAGCCTGAGCTCCTAACCCTATTCTCTGCTGGAAAATTAGGGCCAGAGCTAGGTCTGGGGGAAAAAATAAGCCTCCTGAATTCCAGCCTGGAGCTATTCTGTTTCTTTTTTTAAATCTCCAATTGTAGTAAAAAATATATATATATAAACAGAAAATTTACCACCTTAGCTGTTTTAACATGTACAATTCAGTAGTGTGACTTACATTCACATTGTTGTACAATCTCCAGAAGTTTTTTCATCTTGCAAAACTGGAGCTCTATGGCCATAAAACAACTCGCCATTTCCCCCCAGGCCCTGGCAACCACCGTGCTACTTTCTGTCTCTGTGAATTCAACTGTTTCTAGGTTGGAGCTGTCCTGTTTCTTAAAAGCCCATCTCTGTTTTGCTGTTGAGCCATCTGTTCACATTGTCAATGAAATGAGTTTGGACAGCCAGGGCTACAGGAGTTCAGGGGAGGCCAACCTCTTCAGGAGTGGGAAGGGAAGGCTGCCTGGAGGAAGAGGAGGAGGAAGCCTGCACCCCCTTCTCTGGGAGGCGGAGAGGCAGTGGTGCTGGTGACTCAGGGATGCTTGACCCCAGTGGCCTGCCCTTTGGTTCACAATTGCCACCTCAGCAGCACCAACCTTTGTCCCCAGGGGTGGAGGCACCAGGCCATCTCAGAAGGCCAGTGGCTTGCCAAGGGGCTAGAGCAGTCCTGCGCCTGCAGCCTCCAGAGCCATGGGGACAGGGCTACGCAGCCAGTCCTTGCGAGGACCACGGCCCTCCTATGGCAAGCTCCAGGAGCCCTGGGGGAGGCCCCTGGAAGGCCGACTGCGCCGGGCGCTGAGCCTCAGACAGGGGCATGAGAAGTCCATGTCCTCAGATAGAGGCTCAGAAAGGCTGGATGCCCCCCATCAGGAGCGGCTGCCTGGGGACCTGGGGGACACGGAGCAGCTGATCCAAGCTCAGCAAGAAGGCAGCCGGCTGTGGCTGAGGCAGTATCAACAGGTTTGGCTGAGGGTTGGTGGATGGAGGAGTGCTATGGGGGAGGGTAGAGGCTCCAAGGAGAGGGACCCAGGACAGCACAGGCTCAGAGGTAGAAACTTACAGGGCCATAGACCAGGAAGGTAAAGAACTGTCTGGGGAAGGGGTTGAAGAGAGAGAGATCCAAGAACTGTATTTCCGAGGGCACTGGCAGCATTGGGGATTTACCCCATAGGCACAGGCGAGTCATGAAAGGTTCTAGAGCAGGCTGTTCTAAGATGATTAATCTATCAGTATGTTGGGTGGGTGGAGTTTGCTGGAGGCAAGATAATCAGCCAGTACAACTCTCCAGGGTTCCATCTTGTGCTCCCCTCTCCCCCAGAAAAGTGGGGATCAGGACCCCCTCAGTGGGAGCCGCTGGCTCCTGCCTCCTGCCTCTGGCCTCCAGGAGACTGGGTGACTAGTGTGTGGTGCTTCGGTCTCTGGGATCTACCACCACCTCATGGCTGGAGGTGGAACAGCACCTGAAGCCCACCCCTCAGTCATGGGACCTGAGCCTTGATCTCCCCTCTCCTCTGTCTTCCAGAAGATAAGAAGAAGGTGGGAGAACTTTATCACCAGGTTCCCCAACGTGACCCTGAGCCGGCCAGCCTCCCCAGAGGCCTTGCTGGGCACCACCAGCCAAGGATGCTAGAAGCGATGGGGGCCCTCGCTGCACCGGATAAGATGGCCATGACTGCTGACCTACCTCTTCGTGGCCCTCTGGACTGTGGATGGGGCGGCCTCCTCTACGTAGACTGCTCCGGCCTTCCTTACGTGGCCAACAGACGCATCTGCTACCAGGACAGAGCACAATGAAGCCAGACCCGTGGCTGAGAGGCTCTGGAACGTCACCTGGTCACTGGGCCAAACCCCACCTGCCCTTCTCGCCAGCTACTAGTGGTGGGTGGGGCATGGGTCTCCCTCCCAGATTGCGAGCCCATCCCCAGGGCAAGGACCAGGTCTGGGCAGCCCTCAGTGCTGGCGCTCTGGGGCTGAGAGGCCCGGGCCCACGTATTGTCACTTGGGTACTCAGTCTCCAGGTGAAGGAAGCAGGGGGTGCGTTGCCTCCCCTTGTGACAGAGGGGAAACTGAGGCCCAGAGGGTGGATGGGGTCATTGTCTTCCATCTCTGGCCCCACCCCGATCCAGCGCCCAACACAGGAATAAAGGTTGCTGAGCTGAAGTAAATGATTTTCCTACTGACTACCTCTTCCCCAGTCCCCTGTCAGCCCCTGTGAGGTCAGGTGGGGCCCAGGGCTTCCCAGCGGCACCGGGGTGGCTCCTCCGGAGGCTGGGCCTCTCCCGCTGCTTCTCCTGACTTTACTCTCCCTGTGCTGACCTCAAGCCAGCTTCAGGGGGCCCGACTCTCTTCGGCTCCTTGCCTTTGTGCTCACCCCCATGAGGGAGGGTTCACCCTGAGGATCAGAGAGGGCAAGGGGCCCGCCCAGGGCCACACAGAGGGGAGGGTCTGACCCCAAAAAGCCTGAGCTCCGTGAGACACACTGGCACTTCATGTGGGGTCTCTGGGGCTCTCCTGGCTCAAGTTGACCCAAGGTCAAAGGTGAGGGAGCAGCTGCAAGCATCGTGGTGCAGAGTCTGTTCTGGGGTGGTGTGGGGACCTGAGGGCCCAACAGACAGAGGGGAGGTTCCCTGTTTCCCCAGAGACCAGAACACTGGCAAGGCCATTCAGAAACAAGAGGAATCCGGTAGGAAATTTTGTCCTAGACAGCCAACTGGGACGGGACTGGAACTCCCGGCTTGGTACCTACACTATGGGAGCCCACTGGAAGCTTCCAGCCCAATTAGTCACAGACTTTGGATGCCCCTTGCTCAGCCCCCTTCTGCAGTAGCCCCTACATGGGTCCCTGGGTGTCTCTGGGGAATACTAGGACTCCAGGAAGCAGAGTTTGAGTTTACGACTCTGACAAACCCTCCTGATGTTCAGAGGAAGAAACTGAGGCCTGGGGTCCTCTGTGCTCAAACCTCATCCTGGCCTCTTGGTCCCGAGATTCTCCAGCCCATCTCCTCACTGCTCTCCTTTGACTCAGCACACTCTGAGGCCAGTCTGTCCAGTTAGGAGCTTTAGTCATCCACAAGATGGAAAGTTCCACGGGGACCTGGCTTGCTTACCACTGGGACCTCAGTGCCTAGCTCAGGGCCTGGCACATAGTAGACTGTTGTTTAGTGAATGGGGGACTGGCCCAAGGTCACCCAGCTGATGACTGAGCTGGGTTAGGGGTTTCCACTCAGGGGAGCATTTCCTACTTCAGCTTCGTGAGCAATCCCATCATCAGAGAGCACATCTCCAGGGCCCCCAGCAGACACACACACGTGCACACACACATACACACACGCACATGCACGCACACGCACGCACACATACACACACACTGTTAGGTTGTTTCCAAAGGTAGCTGCAACCATCCCTCCCACGGCACATGCCCTTTGGCGTTGTCCTTGCCAAACCTCCCATGAAGAAGGCTATTCCATCTTCCCTCCCCTTGAATCGGGTGAGCCCAATAGAAAGCGGGAGAAATGATGTTCTGGGACTCCTGGGCCTAGGCCTGAAGAGACTTTGTAGCTTCTGTTTCTGCCCTTCTGGAAGTTGGCTACCTCACAAAGGAGTCCAGGCGATCTTGCTAACATTAAAAGATGGTCCCCAAACAGATATGACTATATTCTAACCCCCAGAACCTGTGAATTCTACCTTATTTGGAAAAAAATACTCTTTGCAAGATATAATTATTAAGGATCTTGCAATGAGGACATCATTTTGGATTATCGGGGGGCCTAAATCCAATAACAAGCATCCTGATAAGAGCCACACAAAGGGAAGGACACAGAGGAGGAGGCCCTGGGAAGACGGAGACAGAGATTGGAGTGATATGGCCACAAGCCCAGGATGCTAAGGATTGCTGACAGCCCCCAAGATCCCCCTAAAAACTGCAGAGGGAACAGCCCTGCCTACATCTTGATGTCAGATTTCTGGCCTCCTGTTGTTTTAAGCCACCGAGTTTGGGGAACTGTTACAGCAGCACAGGACGCTGTGCATTTGTGGCCAAGCTCGCACCGGTAGAATGTGAGTGGAAGTGGCAAGTGCACCCCTCCGGACAGAGCCATGAAAGCTGCCTGCCCAGCCCTCCAGCTCTCCCTCTTCCCTCATGGGCTGGCCTGATGCAGAGGGTCAAGGGTACCCCAGCCAAGGCTAGGGGATGGCAGTGGCACTGAAGCAGAGCCCCCTGCCACCCAGGAGGCCCCAATATAAGTGCAAAATAGACCTTCACTGGGTTAAGCCATTGACTTGGGGGCTACTCATTACAGCCACAATGCTCTCCCAACTCACTCATTCAATATTAGCAGTGTGTGGCCACTCTGAGAGGACAGGACTATTCACTCACTGAGAACAGCTCACTTTGGACAGTGTCCGGCTCATTGCAAGGGCTCAGGAAGCAGTTGCTGAATTACAGAAACGGAGACCGGGAGGATGGGTGGGAGTTAGCCAGGCCAAGGGAGGGGATGAGCTCTTCAGGTGGAGCGAGTGGCCTGGGCAAAGCCTTCCAGGCCAGAGAGAACATGTTGCATCTGAGAGGTGCAAACCTTTTGAATGGTCTCAGACAAGGCGATGCCACTGGCTCAGGCTCTGGATGTATTCACGGCGGATGGTTTCCCTTCCTACCTCCCCAGCTCCCTGCCTGCCTGGGAAGTCAACCTTCAGGCCTTGCCCGTCCTGGTTTTATCAGCACTGAAGATTTCACTCTAAGAAGATGGCCGTCGACAAGCAGACCTCAGAGGACGGTGCCGACATCCCGGATCCTCGGGAGGTAATGCGGCTCTCCACCGGGTGTGGATTATCAATGCTCCATGCAGAGAGGGGACTCTGTCAGGGCAAAAGCCCTGGGGCTCTGAGTCTATCCACCCTCAGGCCAGTGTCTGCCCAAAGGTCACATAAATATATCCTTGTTGAGTCAATTTCATGCTTCTTTATTGTTTCAACTGTCCACAGAGTGCAGAGCCTCCCAGTCCTCTCCTGCATGCACCGTGGGGTCTCGAGGACTGTTCACAAGGTCTCAGAACCAGGAGCTGGAGGGGTCTGAGACCCTTCACCCTGATCCCCAGCTCCATTCTATCTCCTGCTCAATGTCCCTGCCACACCCAGCCTCTCCAAGCATGTTTCCGGAATGGTAGGGAGTGGCAGAGCTCACTGCCTAGCAAGCTCTGTTCTTCGGCTGTGACCTCTGCCCTCAAGGAGCTGACAGTCCTTCTGGCGAGGGAGACAGACAGATGACTGGCTGCTCTGCTAGGAAGCAGAATGGAGTAAGTGCTCACCAGGCAGCACGGTGAGGCAGATGAAACAGGAGGCCCTGATTCCCGAATCAGGGTGAGGCTCCAGGCTTGGCTGGACACCTTCCCCAGCTTCCTGCAGCCTGCAGCCATGCCAGATGGGAGGAGGCCGCGAGCAGGTGGAAAAAATATCCTGCAGGGGAAACGAGGCCACTGGGCAGCACTAACAGGGAAAGCAGCGAGGTGAGCAGGCAACATGGAGTCCCCAGGCACCTCTCAGAGCAAGGGCTGCGATTTCAGGCTGGAAGTGGCCTCAGGGGCCACAGATCCAGGCTGTTTATTTCACAGATGATGCAACTGAGGCTCCCACAGTGAGCTGGAGGCAAGACTTGGGCTCTCCTCCCGAGCTCCTGCCTCCTAGCCCAGAACTCTCTATCCACCTGTCCTCTGTCCTCCAAACCCCCATCCCCAGGGTCACCAAACTCAGTGTGTCCAGCCAGTAGTAGGGCTAGGTGAGCCCAGGCCTGAATGTCAAAGGTGGGACCCAAGCCCCTGCCTAGCAACACACTTGCTGTGTGACCCTGGGTTAGTCATTAGCCTCCTCTGGTCTTACTTTTCTCCTATGCAAAATGGAGATCATGATCTCTGTGTCTGCCCTGGGCTGAAGGACAGGTGAGGTGGCAAGGGTGTGAAATGTTTGCAAACTGTGGTGTGCGATGTCCTGAGAGGGAACACCATCATCGCCCCCCTCCTCAGCACCCATGTCATCAGGCTGAGAGGAAAGTGCATAAAAGCTCTGTGGCCAAATGCCTGAGTTCTGCTACTTACTAGCTGAGTGCCCATGGGCAAATTGCTTAACCTCTCTGTGCCTCAACTTCCTCATCTGTTCAGTAGAAGTAATAACTGTCCCTCCTCACAGGGTTGTAGTATTACCCAAATTAATGCATGTAAAGCACTTAGAACATTTAGCCCATGGTTCTTAGTAAGGAGTTTCAGGATGTTCTCCCTGTGTGACCCTGGGCAGGTCCCTTCTCTGAGCCTCAGCAGCCTCCTCTGGGAAATGGGGGTGCTAATAATAGCACCTGGCAGCTGGTGTCTTGGGGATGCGATGGGCCAAAGCACACATGCGCTGAGCCCACGGAAGTGCCCTATCAATGAGAGCCTCAGGGAGCCTGGCACTTGGAGCCCGGCATGTCCTCAGCTCACCTTGGCCAAGCTGGACCTTGGCAGGGCCACAGGCATCAGGGTCCAGGGAAGCGGGCCCGGCCGCAGACCAGACGGCCACCCTGGGGCCCCCCAGGAGGTGGTCTCTCCTTTAGTGCCAGTGCAGAAAGGGCGTGGGCGGAAGGCCTCTCTCCGCCCCACTCCATCCCACACTGTGGCTGTCCCTGAACCCTCCCTGTTTCCACCCACTGCCAGGTCTCCCTTCTCTGAGCTCCAGACACAGCAATCAATTCAAGCAACATTTGGCAAGGCTCACTCAGAGCCCTGCTCCAGTGAGGACTTCAGACAGGTGACAGACATAGCCCTCCAAGCCCCCTGGGGTGACTGCTGCGTGAATGAACCGGAACTCCAGGAGCTGACCAGGGAGAAGCAGTGCCCAGAGAAGGGCAAAGTTAGTTCTCAGAGGTGGGCATCGGAGAAGGGTTCCTGAGGAGCGGACAGCAGAGCTGAGCTTCACCCCCTGGAAGGGGTAGGGAGGGCATTCCAGGCAGAGGGAACAGGGCATGGAGTCGCGGACCACCTGGAGCATTTGGACATCCAGCCATGACTCAGTTCAGCTGGGGAAAAAAATGGGGGTGGGGAGGAAGGACAGACAGATAGACAAGGGACAGGGCTCAAAGGACCCAGGATGGCACTTCACCTGAGGAGCACTGGGAAATCGGCACAGGTTCTCAGTAG